TGAGCACTGTGCGATGTCCGAATTGATTGCACTATATTTTATGTAGAATCGTTTTCTTAAATTAATTTTAAACCTCTTAAATCAATTTTTATAATCATTTTCAAAGTTTTTAAATTCCTTGTTTTATTGTTGTGATTATTATTATTTTTTTCTTTTCTTTTATGTAAAGCACTTTGAATTACCATTGTGAATGAAATGTGCTATACAAATAAACTTGCCTTGCCTTGCCTTGCTAGAGTGCCATGTCCTACACTCCAGTGCTGTAAGTCTCTGCTTCAGGCGCTGTTGAGTCGCTGTGTACTGAGCCAGTAACCGAGCAAATTGAGTCTGTAGTATTTCAAGAGAAGCTTCTGACCTCTCCACTTTCTCCTCAACCTGTTCTTCTCCAATTCCACCTGCGTCCATCTCCTCCAGCAGGCCCTCCTTCAGAAGGATCTGTCTTCCCCTCTCTTCCAGAGCTTTCTTAGCATCCGGATACTCCATTACAGCCTCCATCAGGTCATCCTTTGACAAACAGAAGAGGTCAGAATAGCCAATGCTACGGATGTTAGCTGTGCGTCGGTTGCCCATTTTGCTGCCTTTGATGTTGAGGATGCTAATCTCGCCAAAGCAGCTGCCGGCCATCAGGTGTGCAAACTGGGTCACCCCGTCATCAGCCACAACAGCAAGGCAACCCTCTTTGATGATGTACATCTCTTTTCCTATGTCTTCCTTTCAGCAGATGTAGTCTCCGGGACTGAAGACCTGTGGCCGCAGCTTGAGCACCAGTTCAACCAAAAGCCCAGCTTCACAGTCCTGGAAGATTCGGACCTTCTTCAGTGTATCCAGGTGCACATTGATAGCGATCTCAGCCCGCAGTTTGTTGGGCAGATTCTTTAGGACATCCTGCTCATCAATTGCTTTCTTGTTGGTCCACAAGTAGTCGAACCATTTGATGACTCTGGCTTCGAGCTCTTTGCTGACCTTTCTGAACTGCATGTAGTGTTTGATGGCATCGATGTGAGCCTGGAACTCGGCCCGTGTGGCATTCATGTTTGATACGAGAACACCAACAAGGAAATCAAAAACAACAAAAAGATACTCCTCATCCCGCATCGGAGCTGGCACTTCCCCAATGGTCGTCAAGGTGAGGGTTGACCA